TATTTTCTATTTGAAGTATACATACTTGTTAACCATGGACTGCTTCTGGCTAGATTAACTCTTGTGTAATCAATGGTGCTAGTGACGCTTATATCAGATTCACTATGATTTAGCCACCCACACTAGTAGCAAGTATTACCTTCACTGGGGGCAGGGGTAACTGCAGTTGGATCCCGGGACGGATACCCTCATGCCATCAATCCTTTTCCTGCACCTTGTCCTCACCCACTTACTGAGGTGTGATGAGCCCATAAGTGGGATAATTTTCAAGCCCGCTCAGAGTTTTGGGGATTTCAGGGGGTGTCGGTCGTTGGGGGGTTCAATAGCTCAATTGAGTCATCTTTCCAAGATTCCTTTTGATTCTCTCTCCCCTCTCCCGGGGAGACCCACGTGACCAGTTTTGGCAGTGAGCAACAAGTACAAGTGTGTGTGTGTGTGTGTGTGTGTGTGTGTGTGTGTGTGTGTGTGTGTGTGCGTGTGTGTGTTTAGGTGCGATAATGCGGGAGTATGGAGTGTGTGAGAGGGAGAGGCTGTGTGTAGATTAGTGTGAGACGGTGTGTGTGTGTGTGGATGAGTGTGCGTGTTCATCTCCTCAGAGGCTGCATGCTTAAAGCCTTTCCTGCCTTTAGTACAACGGTCGCGCATTTTGCCACACCAAACTGCATGCCAATGGCAATATCTTGACTACAGCCATGAACAGTGTGAACAAGAGGTGACAAGCCCTTTTCATTCTTTGCATACAGCTTGAGGTCATCCATGTACCATGGATGGTTGAGTTTGGTACGGTTTTTGGTACTTGAAACAGTAGGCTGTATCAGGATTCCGCAAGACCATGGTGATCGGTACGAGACAGATGACGAACAGCAGTGGGGATAAGGAATCACCGTGGAAAATCCCACGCTGAATGGCCGCCGATCCCAAGTTGTTGGCGCCGTTCCAAAGGCCAACCTTCCACTGAGCCATGCTAACAGTCATACGTCTGCGTACGGATTCGTGTATGCCAAACAGCTCCAAACAGCGCTCAATCCAATCGTGAGGAACCATGTCATAGACCTTCTTGTAGTCGACCCATGACATGACCAAAATGGGTCTGCAACGCTTACTGTCCGTCATAGCGGCCAGGTCAATGACGGGTTGATCTTTTGTGCCATAAGTTCCGCGCTTGCAATATTTCTGCTCATCAGGCAGTAGAGATGACGCCTCAAGATGGGCTGTGATCTTATTGCTCAGAATGCCGGAGAATAACTTCCACATGACTGGAAGGCAGGTACCGGTAACTGGTCGGTAATTGGTGACATCAGCTGCACTCTCGCCAGGGTCTTTCATGATCAGAACTGTGCGACCATGATTCATCCAAGCTGGCACTTCGGTATCCTGCAGGCATGCGTTAAGCATTCGGGCCATTGCAGTATGCAAAGAAGTAAACTTCTTCATCCAGTACCACTGAACACCATCTGGGCCTGGCGCCTTCCAATATACGGCATACCAGCTAAAAAACTCTTGCACGTCCGTGTTGAAAATGCACAACTCATCTTGTTCTTGAACTTCTCAGAAGTCACTTTCCACAGTGGTCAACCTCTCCGCTTGTTGATTATAGGTCACGGGTGAGGACCATATGCCTTGCCAGAAGGCTACAGCTTCTTGTGAGTCAAGTGAGGTACCATCTGATGTTTTGGCGGGTGTAGTGCCGTCCCCTTGAAGTTCACGGTAGACTTGTCTCTGGTCTCTCTCATAGGTTCTATTCTGTCGAAACTACCGGGATCGTTCATTGGAGCGCTTGATCCCAGAGGGTGTAGCATGAATTTGCTGCTTCACCTCTTCCAGTAGGACATTACGTCCCTTTTTCAGGATCTCTTAATTTAGTGGCTAGCTTGTGCTTTACCCTCTTATTTGCCAATCGTTGCCGACTCCATTCGCCAAGTCAACCATAATCTTTGCGGAGCCGGGCCAGCTTAGCAAGCTGCCTCTTTCACCATCCGTTCTCATTACGCCTTTTCTGTGTCTCAGTTGTGGGTTTCACCCCTAATTAACCGCTCACAGACCAGACGAGCTCCAGCAAAGATAAGTCGATTCAGGCAGCTAACATCTTCCACCTGTACGTACCATAACAGTCGAATTGACAAAGCTAACCACTCCAGAGAGTCTAGATGTAGGTATGTGGCGCAGGGATGGTATACGACCTCCTTGTCCTTCTGCATGCAACTCTCTTAGACGTGTGAGCGCAGACCGCTCCTCTTCGCTGAGGCTTTCTTCCTCGGCTGGAAGGTCCGTGGGTGTAAGCGCATCATCCGGCATCGTTCGGGATGCCGGTGCATCAGCGTCCTGTTGCAGTTGCTGCTCAGGTAAGGTAGGTTGAGTCAAATCCATTGGTGCTTCAGCAGTGGCTGGGGCGCTGGTCGTCTGCGGCTGCGTTGCCCTGTGCTTAATGTCGTCCAATTCGGTGTCGGAAAACCCAATTGTTGCGCTTGATCGTTCGGATTTGGTCAGAAAGACGTTGTTCCGAAACATCAAATACTCAGTAAACTGCGCGCCTGCCATAATGCATGCATCCTCTGCCGGTAGCCTCGCTGCTCCATGGCGGCAGTATTGTCCCCCGATCCCATTTCCTCCTCACCCCGTCCGTTCCCCTTATTCTCTCATTTCTAGTATGTTTGTTTTCTCCATCGTTGTGAACAGTAACCTCATAACGAGGAGCCGATGCCTGATCACCCACATCAGACTCCCCGCGGACAGTGCCAGGATTACGATTGGGTAGTGCCTGCCCTGGCACACCACTCCTGCGGAGCGTGACTCCTCTGGAAGATGTGTCCCAGTGCCGAAAGGCGGGCTCATGCCCCGACATGGCTACTTCCCCTTGTCTAACCCCCAAGACGAAAATAATGATACAATGTAGTAGACGACTGGCCGAAATTTAAAAAAAATGCCAACCTCACCCCCAGTAGCACCAGGGTACTAGCTTGTCATCCTGAGATCATTGGTTCACCCGTATAGTTGGCTTCCCTAATGGTCAGCTCATCCACGGGCACCTATTCATGTTCAGACGGTAGTACGTAATATTTCTCTGGCATGGCATCACTAAGACTAGAAGTAATGGTTCCTTTTATTATTGATAGCTGGAGCAGTCCTTTCTCTGTCTTGTGCCAATACTGCAATAGTGATTCATGTATCAAGGCCTGAGCTACACTGTAGGCTGTAGTCTTCCCTGTCTCTCTTGTGGTTTTCTATTCATGAGGGCGATCTACAAAGTGGCGTCATAACTATTTCCAACTGGCCGTTCATGTATTACATGCATATACTTCTTAGCTGTGTGTTGTTGCTTGTTGCTGTGCATGGTCATACATTTGTATTGCATAGTATCATGGCTAGCTTTCGTGCCGTACAACAGCGCGTGTGCGGTGGCTACGCCTCTGCTGTTTTGCCAGCTGACAGTGCTGCATAAATTACTTCATCTTTGCCTTTTGTCTTCGGTTGTGTACCGACATGGAATGTTTTCGGTTTTAGTAGTTCCTTGGTTCGCGTTGTGTAGCTAGCTAGGCTGCTCTTTCAGGTGTAATTGTATTTGGAGTGAAAAGATAAGATAACGTGTTCCTTCGTGTGAACATTCTGGTAGCAGAGGATGGTTATCGCCTGAGTGAGCAGTTCAGTTTCGGAAATTTAAATTATTTAGATCATGTCGTCGCCGGAGCCTGAGAGTGAGAGCACAATCAGGGCTAGCAGTCAGAGAACTGAGCTCTTTTTAGGTGCCATGGCAGAGAGGGCAGGCGACGTGATCGAGGAGGACGAGGAAGTCGAAGAGGACGAACATGGTCAAAGTGACCAGCGATCGAATGAACTGATGTTCGTGAAAATGAAAGCTGAAAAAGCGAATCGCAAGAGAAAGTTCACCAGGTGTCGCAGAGCCGTGATCGTGGCCTTGCGTGACGGAGTTGAAGAGGAAGCTGCGAGGTCGTTGTTTGGCAATTAGAAATGATCGAGGATGCCCTGAACGGTGTGTTCATGGACGTACTCGAGTGGGCTGGCGGCATGAACGATGCGCTCGCAGTGGCTAAAGTGACCGATGAGATGGAGGAAGCGGAGAAAGAGATGAAGGAGGTCACAAGGCTGTATCAGGAGTTCCTAGAACACCAGCCAGCGTGGACGGCTGCACGGAACAGCCACCCAGACAGGCCAGCGTATCATCAGTATGCCCAGGCACCAGTGGAAGAGCCAGGAAGTCCACTGAGCGTGATATCGCTGGGCAGAAGTGAAGGCTCCCAGGATCGGGATGAGCCTGGTGATGGCGTGGCGCTGGTTCAGGAGAACCAGGCAAGAGTAGAAGACAGTGATGAAGTGGTTGTGACCACAAGTGTCTCCGGCAGTAGTAACAGAGAGGCAGAGCTTGGGGCTAGAACAAGGCCACCAATGGAAGCTGGGAGTAGGAGGTCAGAGCGTGAAAGAAGCCCTGCCTTGCCTGTACTACAGCCTGCTGTGCCAACACGGAGTGCTGTATGTGTGTCCAGTGCATATACTAGAGTGAGTGAGACCAAGGCCCCTCAACTTCAAGTCGCGAAGAGTCCAGGCCAGCAGGGCAGTAGTACTCAGGCTCCTGTGTCAGGACTACACCCTACATCATCTCTGCCATATCAGTCCGCCAACTATCTGTACACCCAGGCCAGTGGGCCACCACAGGTAGCCTCAAGTCATCAGGCCATGGGCATTGGTGCCTTTTCAGCATTGCCAGGAGCAGGTGTGTCCGCCAGCCACCAGCGTGCTGTGTCTCAGCCTCCACCTGTCAAGCAGCCATCAGATGAAATTTTCAAGCAACTGAAGGCTATACAGATCCCAGTCTTCGGCGGCGATAAGCAGGCGTATGCCTCATGGAAGGCTGCTTTCATGGCGTGTGTTGGTAGCTCGTCTGCAAGGGCAGACTTGTACTGCTGCACCTCCGGCAGTATTTGAGTGGAGATGCCTTGGCTTCCATCGAGAGCTTGGGATACACCCCGTCTGCGTATGAGGCCGCAATGAGGCGGTTAGACCGCAAGTTTGGAGGCGACCAACGACAGCTGTCGCTGCAGTACGAGCAAGTCGAGGCCTGCCCAATCATTCGTTCCGGCCGAGCAGGAGATCTCCAGAAGTTTGCAGATCTCCTCGACGTACTCGTGGTCAACCTCCTCGACTCCGGAAAAGGCAATGAGCTGGGTGATGGGCTGTTGTACCGGAAGCTCCTGGCCAAGTTGCCGGCTGGGATGTTAACCCAATTCAATCGATGGTGTCATCAGAAGCCCTGCCAGCCAGGAATTCAAGCACTACTGGAGTGGGTGACGTTGGAAGCGGAGTTTGCCGTTGGAGCGTCCGAAGCACTAGATGGAGTTGGTGCGAAGGACAAGCCTCCGGCACCCCGAAATGCTCCTCAACGATCCTACTTCGGGGGAAAGGCTTCGCAGAATGCAGGGTGGTCAAGGCCTGCGGGCTCAGCGGCTGGACGATCTTCATGTCGGCAATGTGGCGGACCTCACGGTGTCTGGCAGTGTAAAGCATTTCAGCAGCTTTCCGTCGCCAATCGCTGGAGACAGGCTAAACAGCATGGTCTGTGCTACCGCTGCCTTGGAGGCGATCACCAAGGTCACCACTGTCCACGAACCAGACCCTGCTCAGTGAGCGGCTGCAACAACAATCACCACTACTTGCTACACCGGGACTTGCTACACGAGGACAGCAGGAACCCCGATGCCGCACAGTCAAACAAGAAAAAATCGGGGAACACGGCAGCTGGAGGAATGACGGCGGACAAGTCCCAACTCAGTCCTGCCGAACAATTCTGCAACTATGGAGACAATGGTTCAGGTCAGGAGACAGGGGACCAGGTATTGCCTCCCGCCATCGACTGTTTAGTAACGCCGCCATACGCCGGTAAAGACCAAGAGCAGCGCACCCCACAGTCGTTCACCGAGGGGGAGACGGAGTCCACGAAGAGTGATTCCACCATGATGGTCCAAGGCCCGGGCAAGATAGCTCTGCGAACGGTCTCAGTCGTCTTGGAGAACGGCCACAAGTCAGTGCAAGTGAATGCGTTGCTGGACGACGGTAGCACGACGAGCTACCTCAACGGCAGCATTGCCAACCAGCTCGGCGTCAGCGGGGAGCTGAGGACATTCACAGTCCACACCTTGAATGGCAAGCAGACCTCATTCACAACCAGACCAGTAAGCTTCACCATTGGCAGCATGGATGGCAGTGTTCGACAATCTATGACGGCGCTGACGGCTGATTCGGTCACCGGGAATCTTCGTCCGGTAGAGTGGGTCAAGGAAGCAGTCAAGTATCCTCATCTGAGAGAGATTCCGTTCGCAAGACTGGCGGAGCCCGCCAGGGTCGATCTGCTGATTGGGAGCGACTATGCTGAGCTGCTTGTGTCACAGCAGGAAGTGGTCGGCCCGCCTGGTCAACCAGTGGCGCGTCATACTCCACTGGGTTGGACCTGTGTTGGCAGAGTGACGGGAACCCACTCGAGTCAAAGGACGTTCCACAGCCAAGCGTTTCAGAGTGAGGAGAGAGCAACACCAACCGGCTTAGAGACCGCGCTACAGCAGTTCTGGCAAATTGACAGCTGCGGCACGGAGGAGAGCTTCAGTGAGCCCGGCCCGCGCTCGCGGGAGGAAGAGACAGCCCTAGACATCGTCAAACACTCGCTGAAGAAGGTGGACGGTCGGTACCAGGTGTCTCTGCCGTGGAACAATCGCAAGAGAGAATTATGCAACAACTTGGGTGCGGCTACGAAACGTCTAGGCCACACCGAGCGCAAGCTCCTGAAAGACCCATTTGTTGCCCAGGCTTATGGCCAAGTCTTCCAGGCCTACCAGAGGAACGGCTATATCCGGGAGCTCGCGAAGGAAGAGCTAGGTCAAGAGGTATGCTGGTACTTATCCCACTTTCCCATCGTCCGACCGCAGAAGACGACAACCAAGGTGCGGATCGTCTTTGACGCTGCAGCATCCCGTCATGGCCTCAGCCTCAACGACGCCATCTACCCTGGTCCGAAGCTCCAACGTGAGTTGTTCGATGTGTTGACCAGGTTTCGGCAAAAGCCTATAGCAGTGGGCTGTGACGTGACCGAAATGTATTTGCAGGTGTCGGTTGCGCCAGCAGACAGGAAGTACCTCAGATTCGTGTGGCGGGACCTGGATCCAGCCAAGCCTTTACGGCACTTTGAGTTCAACCGCCTGGTCTTTGGCGTCAATGCTGCACCATTCATCGCCCAGTATGTTGCTCAGCAGACAGCCCGGGAACATTTGGCGTCTCATCCCCTGGCAGCAGAAGCTATCCTCGCGTCCACCTACATGGATGACACGATGGACAGCACCAAAGATGTCGAACAAGGTCAGATTCTTCATCGGGAGCTAATGGATCTGTGGGGTGAGGCCAAGATGACGCCGCGCAAGTGGGTGTCCAACTCGCCCGAGCTCCTGAGGGTAATTCCAGCCGAGGCTCGCGCTACCCAGCTGGACTTATCCCAAGGAGAGCTACCATCCGTGAAGACGCTAGGAGTGTCATGGGACGGTCAGGCAGACTGCTTCTTCTTCAGCGTTCAACCGCCAGACCTCACCAACCAACGCATCACCAAGCGATTCCTCCTAGCAAAAGTCGCGTCCGTATTCGACCCGTTGGGGTTTCTGGCACCGTTCGTGACCCAAGCCAAGATCCTCATGCAAGAGAGTTGGGTAGCTGGTATTGACTGGGATGAACCGGTTCCAGATGGCATCGACACCAGCGCTCGCCAGTGGTTCAATGACCTGGCGAAGCTCAGTTTAGTTCGAGTACCAAGATGTCTCATCCCGGACGTGGCCAGTGGAGTGACGCTGCATGTTTTCTGTGATGCGTCGAGTGTGGCGTATGGTGCCGTGGTCTACAGCTCCACCGTGCAGCGTGGCTCTGAGGGAAACGTTCGTCTCGCTGGAGCCAAGAGCAGAGTGGCGCCGACAAGAACACAAAGTATCCCCCGGCTGGAATTGCTGGCGGCTGTGCTTGGCCTTCAGCTGGCCCGGAAGTTCAGTCAGATCATGACCATTGCCATGTCAGAGGTGATTTTCTGGAGCGACAGTGCAACTGTGCTGCTCTGGATTCGCAGCTACAGCCAACGTTTCAAACCGTTTGTGGCGAATCGCATCAGCCACATCCAGACTGTTACGTCGCCCAGTCAATGGCGGTACGTTCCCTCCAGCGACAACCCAGCTGACTTGGCGTCACGGGGAGCTGGGGTAGAGCAACTGGTTGCAACTGAGCTGTGGTGGCAAGGACCGGCCTTCCTGCAGAAAGAAGAATCTGAATGGCCAGCCAAGATCGTGGGTGGCCAAGACCCAGCTGCCCGAGCGGAAGCTCGCAAGGCTGCACAGCCCGAGGTGATGTCATTTATGTCCGAGAAAGTACCCAGCTTGTGCTCTCGGCGCTTCTCAGACTGGACGCGCGTAGTCAGAGTACGGGCTTGGGCAATTCGCTTCATCACCAACTGCCGTGGAGGTGAGGAGTTGAGCGGAGAGCTAACCGGCGAGGAGATGGACGCTGCCAGCCTTTCCATCATCAAAGAGGCACAGCACGAGGCATTCGCGGAGGATCTGAAGCTAGTGAAGAATGGTCAACCACTTCCGCTGAAGTCACGTTTGGCGAGGTTATCGCCTCGACTGGACGACGACGGACTATTGCGCTGCGATGGTTGCACCAAGCTGGCTGACTGGTTGCCGTTTGATGTGCGCTTCCCGATTCTTCTCCCCCGGAAACATCCGACCACCCGGCTTATTGTCAAAGATTGCCATGAGCAACGTCATCATGGCGGGACGAATGAAACGTTGGCAGCTCTCTCTGATCACTATCTTGTTGAAGCAGCACGGGAGGAGATCCGTGACTGGGAGAAAGACTGCATGGTGTGTCGACGACTAAAAGCCCGTGCGGGAGAGCAAATCATGGCCCCGTTGCCAGCAAAGCGATTGTGTGAGCCACTGAGAGCCTTCAGCAGGGTAGCCGTTGACTACGGAGGGCCGTTCGAAACTATGCAGGGGAGAGGAAAGACTCGCCACAAACGCTATCTGTGCCTCTTCACGTGTTTGCTGACTCGTGCGGTCCATTTGGAGATGGCGTACGCATTGGATGCAAATTCTTTCCTGAACGCCTTTAACCGGATGGCCAACCGACGAGGTTGTCCAATGGAGGTTCTGTCGGACAATGGAGGCAACTTCGTGAATGCCGACCGCCAGCTACGTGAGCTTGTTGGCCAACTGAACAATACCACCGTCCGGAAAGCCATGGCCTGCAGACGCGTGAAATGGAGTTTCAACCCGCCATTAGCTCCTCATTTCGGGGGAGTTCACGAGGCAATGATTCGAGCCGCCAAACGAGCTCTACACGCCATCCTTGGAGACGCATCTGTGACGGACGAGGAGTTGGTCACCGCTCTCAGCGGAGCAGAGTCCCTCGTCAACTCCAGGCCCATCACCTACCAATCGGCTAGTCCGAAGGATCCAGGGCCGCTAACTCCGAACCATTTCCTTCATGGCATGGCCGAGGGCCAGCTGGTTATTGCAACAACGGACGAGAAGGGGTGTCAACTGCAGAGACGTTGGAGATATGTTCAAATGCTCATCGACCATTTCTGGCATCGCTGGCTGAAAGAGTTTGTCCCACGGTTGAATCAGCGGATGAAGTGGCGACACCAGCGACGCGATCTGGCCGTTGACGACGTTGTCCTGGTGATGGATTCAAGCTCCCCGCGAGGGCGTTGGCCGCTCGGCAGAGTCACGGAAGTTTTCCCTGGTCCGGACGGACATGTGCGTGTGGTGGCCATGCAAGTGGGCTCTGAAGAGATCCATCACTCGAGTCTGTCCACTGGAATGTTAGACGGCTCTCCCTACATGCCAGAATGGAGGTACTGCTCAGTGACGACCCCCATTAATGATTCATGCATTGTTTTTGTTTTTTTTGTAGCTTCCTACCACTGAACTTGCCCTTTCGATTCACTTTTCTCTTAGCTTGGTACTGGTAGTTGTAAGGATAGGCATCATGCAACATCTGGGTGCATATTGCGAGGGGGAGGATGTTCAGACGGTAGTACGTAATATTTCTCTGGCATGGCATCACTAAGACTAGAAGTAATGGTTCCTTTTATTATTGATAGCTGGAGCAGTCCTTTCTCTGTCTTGTGCCAATACTGCAATAGTGATTCATGTATCAAGGCCTGAGCTACACTGTAGGCTGTAGTCTTCCCTGTCTCTCTTGTGGTTTTCTATTCATGAGGGCGATCTACAAAGTGGCGTCATAACTATTTCCAACTGGCCGTTCATGTATTACATGCATATACTTCTTAGCTGTGTGTTGTTGCTTGTTGCTGTGCATGGTCATACATTTGTATTGCATAGTATCATGGCTAGCTTTCGTGCCGTACAACAGCGCGTGTGCGGTGGCTACGCCTCTGCTGTTTTGCCAGCTGACAGTGCTGCATAAATTACTTCATCTTTGCCTTTTGTCTTCGGTTGTGTACCGACATGGAATGTTTTCGGTTTTAGTAGTTCCTTGGTTCGCGTTGTGTAGCTAGCTAGGCTGCTCTTTCAGGTGTAATTGTATTTGGAGTGAAAAGATAAGATAACGTGTTCCTTCGTGTGAACAATTCAAACCCTGCTGCTACCCAGGGCCTGAAGCGGACAAATGAGTTTCTTTAGGCCAACCCCATCCCCCTAGCCCTCTAGTCTTTTCCCAAAGGTGCTCGCCCTTTTTTCGCCCTTTTTGGCCCTTTTTGGAAAAGCCCGTTTCTTTCGCCCTTTATTGCGTTTTTTGGTGAATATCGCCTTTTTTGAGCTTTTTTAGCTGAAAAAGTGCTAAAATCTGTTTGCTCATGCATGCGATCACAGTTTTCGAGTGCTCGATGCCGACGATGGGCCTTGGCACGCCACTTTTTTGGGGGGGGCAACAAGTTGGTGAAGCTTGCACCCGGTATACACAATGCTGTAAAAAGTGGGTTTTTTGAACTTTACTTCCTGTTTTGCCTTTCGTGGACCCATAAATGGAAGAGTGCGTATTCATGTCTCAGCTTGGGATCATACCTGAACATGTATCATGGCTATGCTTCACTGAAAAAAGAGCACTTTTTGCCTGTTTTCACTGAAAAAAGAGCACTTTTCAGGATATTTTGAGGGACGCGAAAATCATCACATGTATTGAAGTGCGAATTAAAAGAGCACCTTTGGGAAAGGGCCATCCCCCTCCCGCCTGGCAAAGTAGTTCCACCACATTACTCCCATCAATGGGTCCCCCAGCAGGGGCCCTTTTATTATCCATCAACACTCGGCAGGCAGGCACAGTGGGTTGGTCAAAACCATGATTGAGATACGAGAGGTACCTGGTTCAAGTCCTGCCTGGGAGCGGTTTTTCCAGTCGTGCTGCTACCCACAGTCAACTGGGAACTTGTGGCCAGGCACAAGGGGTACATGGATGCAGCTAATGGGGTCGTTTTCGGCACTTGTGCCAGTGGTTGTGAGACTTGCCCACTCACCCCCACCGTTAGGCGCTGCATCTGCCGCTAGGGTTTATCGGGTGTTAGCGGCCGTCGTGAGTTCCCTTCGGGAACGGATACGATAATTTACTTTTTTTTTAACACTCGGCCGAATGCCGGAGATTGGCACCCACCGGGCTAGCATTCAGCAGCCAAAGGTGGGGCCATGCATCATATGGATATTAATATGATGGTAGATAAACAACAGAGAGAAACACACAACACTTTATATCGATCATAGCCTTCATAGGAAACACGAGAGGGTTTGGAGGAAAATAGGACCGGAAGAACTCCATCACCCACCCAAGAGCATTACAAATCAAGGACCTTACGCAGAATAGCTGCCGAGCCAAGGAAAGCATTCTTTTGCAATTCAGACGCAGAGCAGTAGCTGGTGATACCGATGGTGTCAATGTATCCTGGCAACTGTTTGGAAACAGTGCCCAAAGTCCCAACTATCACAGGAACAATCTGAGTCTCAACTTGCCATAGCCGATGGATTTCGCGAGCAAGAAGTTGATACTTGGCACGTTTCTCAACTTCCTTTTCAGCAATGCGTGGACCACCAGGTACAGCAATGTCAATGATCAGGGCCTTCTTCAAGTTCTTGGCAGGTCCATCAACCAGAGCAATATCAGCCCGGATACCCTGATGCCGTCAATCCTTTTCTGCACCTTGTCCTCATTCTCCTCACCCACTCACTGAGGTGTGATGAGCCCATAAGTGGGATCATTAAGTTAATTTTTCAAGTCCACTCAGAGTTTTGGGGATTTCAGGGGTTGTCGGCCGTTGGGTGGTTCAATAGCCAAATTGAGTCATCTTTCCAAGATTCCTTTTGAGTCTCTCTCCCCTCTCGCCGGGAGACCCACGTGACCAGGCAGTGAGCAACAAGTGTGTGTGTGTGCGTGTGTGTGTGTGTGTTTGTGTGTGTGTGCGTGTGTGTGTGTGTGGCATGTAGCGGTAAATAAAACACCTGACTGCACGGCGCACAGATATACATCTCATATCACCACACCATCAGCATTCTTCTGTCAAATGCTCCGCAACACCTGTCAATCGTTCACGTGATATCTTCTCCGTTACCTTGACAATGGCGTTCAACACCTGGGTATCCAGGTTTCACAAATACAGGTATTTGGAAAGCGCAAGCTCTTCCAGGGTCCGGACAAAATGAGATTCAGAACATTACAGTGAAGCGATCACCTGTTGGGTGTGTGCGTTTGAAAATCTGTGACCGTCAGACTAGGGAATAGGAAGAAAGAGAAACTGCGTGCAAGATAAACCAATGCGAAGCCTTTCCATTGACCCTCGGTCTGCTCGTTGTGAGCTGTTGCGTGCATTATACTAAGTAAGAATGGCGGAGACGGCAGTCCGGCCTCGTCCGGCGTTCTCCACCTACTTTACACGTCACGACACCGGTGGAGACGATGAGCTGCTGGCAGCGGAGCGAGCCAGGTCGGCAAAGAGGAATCGCCTTCCTTCACTGAGCGGCCGACATGACTATCACTCTTTCCAGGCCATGAAGGAGGACCCAACTGTGGCCACGCAGTTCAAAAGACCTCCGTCGGCCATGCCACATCGACAGGATCATCCGTTGGTGGACACTATCTCTGGCGTAACAGCCATTGGTGCTGACTATGGTGCACCTCCCATTGATCTACCGACCAACAAGGCACGGCCACTGTCGGCACGGGCCACGGAAGACTACGACTTCTCCAGTTCGGTGGAGCAGCGCGGGGGTGCCTATGGAGGCGAAGACACACTGACACCATTGAACCTAACTGAGCAAAGTGATGCCGGAGCTGACGGGCGAAGACTGCCTAGCGCTGCCATGCGACGAAGAGCTCGCTCAGCGGGCAGTCTACGTCTGGAGGAGATGGCGAGACTGCCGGATGGACGTGATCGCCGGCAACGACCACCGAGTAGTGCTCGGAATCGAGCCATGTCCGCTAGGCTGACGTCATCCAAGGCACAAGGTACTAGTATTGACAATTTGTGTTAGGGTCTCTTGTTCGTCTTACTCTATTACTCATTATTATTCACACATGTCCGCCGGATGAGTACGCGTGACCCATGCCCATGCAACTCTAGCTCTACATGAAGGTGTAAGCAAAAAGCTTATTACAAAAGTCATGTACCCGGTAGTATGCTTTAGTGCTGGTAGGGCACCGGATTTTCTACTATGATCACAGCTCACAGGCAAATCCCCACGCCGCAGCTCGCCAGATAATGATAATCTTTATTTCAGGATTACCCAAAGGCTAACGCCTATCTGGGGGATCTCCTATTTGTGTATGTAGAGAGTGCGCAAAGTGAGTGTGAAATGTTGGATTTAAATCAAGGTGTGGGGCCTCTGCACTCAGTAGAGTCAAGTAAGTAGTTGAGCGAGCTGCAACTTCCGGTGCCGAAAGGCGGTCGCACGCCCCTACATGGCTACTTCCCCTTGATCCCCAAGTGGCCCAAGACGAGTAGCCGACTGGCCGAATGCATACTAGTGATGATGGGAGCCGCTATGATGCCTTGGTGGTGATGATTGCTGGTACATACTAACATAGTGAGGCGTGTTGCCCTCGGCTGACCTGGGGTTTTGGCGTCATGGGGACAACAAACGCACCATGAAAGAGAAGTAAAATTAGTTACCGTACACTTAGTGACTTAGTGACTTACAGGTGCAGGAAGAGAAAAACGGGTTAGGAGGACAGACAAACCTCCGACGCACTCAGTACGTCTGTTCGTCAGAATGAGCCTTGTGAGGGGAAATAGCACAGACACATGGTACACTGAGACACTGTTCTGGTACATGGTGTTCATGGTGTTAGGACGGGAAGTAAGGATGGGAAGGAGAGAAAAGAAGAACCAGATGACGCGTCACTTCCTTTTTATACTTATTACTATTAGTAACTAACTTAGTATAAAGGAAGGGACGCGTCATTACGTTTTTTTAGAAGTGTGACGTATCCCTAAAAGTTCACAACACGTCTTCATCATTCATGTCAAGTAAAAATTAATAATATTAATAATAGGGCCAAACTAAAGAAGGTGTGTGGTTCGACTAACATGGACATTTTTTTTACGGGCGGGCGGGCGGATTTTTTTTTATATAATATTTTTTAGTACATGTAAATACACTATACGCGTATCGAGTAGACTCTACTACCAGCACAAGGCAGCAGTCGTACCACTCACTGCACTGCACTGCAGTACAACTACAAGTCAAGTCCAAAAGGAGCCGCCTAGCGCCTGCGTCCGCAGACTCACGCCGGCGCCGCACAGCACGTAGACGTGGACGTGTTCAGTCCACGTAGGTCTACGTCAGTCACACGACAGCCCGCCGAAAAAAAGTTACGGTCGGGCTGAAATTGTACGGTCGGTCGGGTGAGTCGAACCACACACCTTCTTTAGTTTGGCCTAGCTACAGAAGTCAGTGATGGCAACAATAAAATCTTGGAAGCTGTGAAGACCCTCGTAGGCCTGTGCAATCTGTATTTTCTTGGTCTCCTCCCATGCATGGGCCCAGCTTGTGTTTGTCCCACTTTGTTTACTAAACACTTATCGATGGCGGCTTGGGGCACTAATCACAAACTAGCGCCATCATGCAACCTGTGTCGGTCTCCCGCAGCACAAGGCCGGTCAGTCCCAAGCCTCGGAAGCCAGCGCTGAAGCAGGCGAATCAAAGCTCGACAGGACCGAAGAAGAGAGTGAGATTCTTTCTGCCTGACGACACCGAGGATCTTTTCGAAGCTCATGGTGGACGACGAGGGTTGCATGCTATTTCCGCTGGCTACGACCGCCCTGTGACAGCTCATCGCTCCAGTTCCAGATATGGATCCACAACTTCACTTGACCAAGGGCAAGGCGCTCGTTCTCGACATTCTTCCTACAAACCTACGACGACGTATCAATCGAATTACTCCCAGCACGATGGCAGCGATCCACAGCGACGGGTTGCATCCAGAAGTAAAATTGTGCTCGTTCCCAACGCCGTTTCCACGAGACAGATCGTTTCCGACAGGCAAAAGCGGCGGAAGCTGCGCTCACCTCCGCCGCCAAAGCCGGAATCGGTGCCGATCGATGAGCAAGTCCTATCAGCCGGGTCGCAGGAACAGCTGGAGTCGTTTGGATTAGATCTGCGGTCAGTGTCGATTTATCGGGCGGCAATGAAGCAACTCGAGGACGTTAGTGGTGAGGTGTGCACGTCGAAGATTGAACAGAATTTCAATAGGCATTGCATTCGTCCCTGCCACTTTTCGGCTACCTACACCTTACAAGCCTGCATTTACCGGAGGCGGGGGGGGGGGGGGGGGGGGAAGGACTTCAGTTGTGCAGATTTGTGAGATATATAATGCGCTAACATGGTGGACTGTAGAGTATTGGGAATTTGAGCCCCCCCCCCCCCCCCCCACACACACACACATAATTATAGTCATATACACACACATAAACATGTGCAACCACACACATACGCACACAGACACACACACGCATGTACGCTCACGCACCATGGACCACACACACACACACACACACACACACACACACACACACACACACACACACACACACACACACACACACACACACACACACACACACACACACACACACACACACACACACACACACACACACACACACACACACACATACATACATGTACGCACACACACACCATGTACCACACACACACCACACACACACACACACACACACACACACACACACACACACACACACACACACACACACACACCTTTGGACCTTTGGAAAGCCCATCGCCAAAGGCGATGATAGCTATTAGGCGAGGCAGAAGTTCTTGTGTCGGGATAAAATCATTTGGACGGCGAAAGTCGCGGCCGCAGACACAGACGAACACTCTTGGTTGGGACTGGCTTGGTGGCTTCCGACGGCTACGCTCGCGCCAGTCCCTCCGGTCCTGAGCAAGGTGGTACCATTGCGCCTCCGGGATACCGGTAGCACGGAGGTCTGAAGCTGCACATCTCTCCAACGACGCTTGGGTCCATGGCGGGGCCGCGTGTTAGTGCCCTCCGCAAACAGGATCTGCTTTGGCAATCTGGTGTCGTCCATCCTTGCGAGGTGACCAAGCCATCGCAGGCGATTTGCACGAATGGACTCCTCCAGCGAGGCTGGCATGCCGCTGCGCTTCGCCAGGTCTTCACTTGACAGATGTTCCCGCCACTGCTGGTCTCGAGTAACACTCAGGATCTTGCGAACACACTGCCGATGGAACGTGTCCAATCTGCGCAGGAGGGGTGCCTTCTGCATCCAGGTCTCAGAACCATACAGCAGCACTGTAAGGATCACGGCCTGGTAGACTTGACGTCGCATTCCAAGCGACAGACCTGAGTTCCGGAAAATTGGTTGGAGGAGGCTACCAAACGCCCTCGATGATTTGGCAAGACGAGTAGTGACTTCGGCATCCAGCTCTCCATCGTCGCTGATCGTACTGCCGAGGTAGCTAAATTTGCTGACCGAGCCGATCATGTCACCAGCACTCCCAGGCATCACTATATCAGCACGGATGACACTCGGACCGACCGCCAAGAACTTCGTCTTCTGCACACTAACAGTCAGGCCCCAGCCTGACGCACACTGCGTAAATTCCTTCACCATCGTCTCCATGTGCTCATACGAAGTGGTGTACAGGGCAGCATCATCCGCGAATAGCGACTCCGACACGGATAAGTCTGCGAGTCTGTGCTTGGCAGTACGGTCGCCAACCAACTTGCGGCCGATACAATGTTTCATCGGGAAACTAGGCACTGTGGATGTTGAGCGGCAGCGTGCAAGGACGGCAGAGAAGTAGAGATTGAACAACATCGGAGCCAGAGTGCAGCCCTGGCGTAGACCATTCTCTACCCCAAAGCTGTCAGACTCACCACTACCCACACGAACAGACGCCATCATACCCTCGTGAAGAGACCGGATCACCTGAAGCATGCGGAGGCACACTGAGTTTCTCCAGGACCAGCCAAAGCGCTGTTCGGGGGACCGAGTCGTACGCCTTGCGTAGATCGACAAACAAGACGTACAGATCAGATTCATGTTCGATGGCTTTCTCCAGCACTTGGCGGGCAGCAAAAATCATATCGATGCAGCCCCTGCCCTTCCGACACACACACACACACGCACATACACACACATACACACACGCACACACACACGCACACACACACACACACACACACACACACACACACACAGAGTCACTCTACTCTAGCAAGCAGTTTATTGCACACAGTTGCAGCATAGCTAAAAGGAGCCCAACAGTCTTACCTCAGTAACTTTCAAGTTCAACTACCTTTCCAGCAAGTGAAGAATGAAGAGCGTCATCATACAGTACATGACATTCTTTAGAGCCCAAAGGAATGGTTATGTGTCCATGTTTCTCCCTTTACAGTTCCTGCCCAATCTCAAAAGGAGAACAAAGCAGATAGTTTCCACAAAGAATATGCGCACAATTACATGTGGTCGGTATTACTATTGGCCGTTGGTGCTTGTGTCTGGCCACTAAGCTAGGGTTTCATTCACAGATCCTCGGATGTGTGTTTACCTCCCCCTCCCCCCCCCCCCCCCCCTCCACACACACACACACATCATTTTTCGCAGACAACACATAGCCTGCTTGACACACTAGTAAGGTTATGAGAGATTGTCCTAAAGTACTTATAGCAACTCATTTCCAACTGTAGTATTCTGGGATGTTTCTTTCATCTACTCGCGTGTTCGATGCAGAGCGTATCAAGAGATGGGAGGAGAGCGACGACGATGACGATGATTTTGCCGACGATTCGTCACAAGTACCACCCCTACCCCTGGATAGGTCACTAACGGTAAGGCGGCAGCACGTGCAGACAGGAAACACAGAGTGACAGAGAGAGAGAGAGAAGAGAGAGAGAGAGAGAGAGAGAGAGAGAGAGAGAGAGAGAGATTGAGAGAGCAGACCATAACACCCGGGTGCATGAGTTACATGCTAGGCAACTGAGCACAGAGCCATTACAGGGGCGTAGCACCCGCTACGACTGGTACGACCATGGCCGTACCACTTTTCGAAAAGTGTGGTCCGTCCGGAACGTGCAAAACCGTAATAAAAAAATCAGGATCCATCGATACATATGCGCATCAGACTTTGACCTTTTTCTAGACTCGTACTCGTACTGCCATGCATCTGTGCATGTCCATGCACGTCTCTTCTGCCCGTGAAATAATTCTATGACTTATAAACTGTGCCAGAAGTGTGCCAGAAGTTCCCAGAACGCAGGATTGTGTCTTTTTTACAAAATTTTCACGGGAGGTCCCCCGGACCCCCTCCAAAAAGGCCTTCGGCCGCACTGACCTTTGGTCGTACCACTTCCTAAACCCCTCCTACGCCCCTGCATTAGGTAACTTACTAGTCTCATGTCACTGACATTCACCCCATGGAATACGGTGTCAAAAATTGTACCACCATAAATAGGACCGCGAAACATTTTTTGGGTTGGTCCGGTCTTAACCTAGTCTTTCAAAACTGTGTATGATATGTCAGGTAAACATTACCTCCTGAGGATCAAACATTTGTCAGTGGCCTTGGTGCGGCTATGACCAGACCAGCCTGACCGGTTCCCGCAGGCCTGATAGAACCTAGGGGAGCATGGGAAAATGCGGTGTCAAACTTGAAAGCGAGCCTTGACTTTTGAGATGCAAGGCACTTTCTGAGAAGACGTTTATTAAAGTTGTCTTCTATTAAAGTCCTGTATGTCAAAAGGCAAAGATCACGTCATACTACAGTTACCATAAAACGTGTCCGTGTTTAGATTACCCCTCAAATAATGCGTTCTTTAACTGGTTGAAATAATTTCTCAAGACATACTGAAGATGGGCCTGGCCTGTAAATTCGGATATTTTTTATTTATCTCTTGATTGATTGGTGTAGCCTAGAGACCGGTACCTGAGAGTGTTGTGAGTATGTGCAGATATGGTTAGAATCTTGACTAGTTTGAGGGAAAAACAAACAAAAAATGGTTAGAAGGATACAATTGAACTACAGACATGCATATTTTTCTGCTTCTATTATCTGCAGTTGCCACCGTCCATACAGTCGCGCTCAACGCCATCCTCGGCCAGACCATACAGTTCAACCGGCAGATCACAGCGGCGGATCGAGGAGCTGAGTGAGAAATACGTCTGGACGTCGAGCACGAAAAAGTAATGACGACGAGCATGGTGCACGTTGTGATAAACGTATTGGTTTATTCTAATAAATACTTTGTAGTAGTCTCCATCCATCGAGGAGCGAGTGGAAAAGAACAACAAAACAAAGAACAGCACACCGGAATCAGCATGCTCAATGTGTAGTCATGCGTGCATGCCAAATACCAATGCATGACGTAAGCTAACGTAAACTGCGTACAATAAGACAGATGCACGCGGGTGGTTGCATATAGGATAGCGTACATAATAATACAACACGCCCTTCCGAGATCATAATGGGTGAACAAGCCAGACTATGATCTAAACATAATAACTATGAAGATACAAAAAAAAAAACATGAACAAGAGGCAAGGCAACGAGAACAGTCACAGCGTAGCACAGACTACAGAAGAAGAAAAACTAATCAAACATATGACTGTCCTTGGTGTGCAGAAATGTTCAAACGGTCAGGTTGACGGCGGTTACGGGTGCTGCGACGGGGTGCAACAACAGGCTCAGTAGGTGTGGGAACAGCAGGTTCAGACGCACTATCAGTAGAAACGCGATCAGGTAGCAATGGGACATAAGGCCGCAGGAAGCGACGATTTCGCCAAAACACACGACCACTACGTAGCTTGACGTAATAGTCTCGATGGGTACCAATGGCGACAACGATGCCTCGACCTGTCCACCGTTTGGTGCGCGGATCTTGCAGATCTACGTGCATGCCAATAGTGAGCTTAGACAACGTGCGCGGCTGAGACGAATCTGGATCCGGGACAGGTGGAGAATCAGAACTCTCTATACTGGTAGCACGCTGTTTCCACTCCGGGGCAAACGACGAGTGATGCGCCAGCACGAATGATGAGAGCGAACGACCGAATAGCAGCTGGGCAGGACTGGGTCCAGACGGATGTGGGGTATTACGCCATTCCAACAGACCACGCTGGAAGGCATCGGTGTCCAGGTCGCCATTACGAGTGGTTTTCGCAATCAGGTACTTCATGGACTTCACCGCGGACTCGGCATGGCCATTTGATTGCGGGAAGTGCGGGGTTGATGTGATGTGCTTCATCTGCCAACGGTCGCAGAACTCAGTGAAGCGTCGCGACGCATACTGGGGACCACCGTCGGTTGAGATTGCACTGGGAACGCCAACATCTGTAAACCAGCGACGAAGTTGACGAACCACGTCAGAAGATGTGGCTGTGCGGCCTATCTTTGCAACACACGGCCAACCGGTGAGTCGATCGACCAACACAAGGTATTCCCAACCTTGGCAATGGAAGAGGTCAGAGCTGACACTCTCGAACGGCATTGACGGTTGACGGTCACTCTGCAGCGGTTCTCTCGGCAAAGATGGCTGGAACTCACGACAGGGCTGACATGCACGGACAAGGCGGTCAAGCTCAGAGTTCAAACCAGGCCAGTACACTAGTTGACGCGCACGGCGCTTGGTGCGGTCAATTCCTTGGTGTGCAGCGTGTAGATCTTGCAGCACAGATGCACGTAGAGCAGCAGGTACTACGATGCGATTGCCCTTCAGTACGACGGCGGAGTCGACAGATAGGTGTTCGCGTCCATTCCAATAGGGCTGCAGATGCCGTGGAAGGTCGGAACAGGAGCGTGGGAAGCCGGTGAGTACCATCTGCAGGAGATCTTGATACTCAGAGTCCGAGGCGCACGCATCTTGGAGCTTCGCATAGCGTAATGCTGACATCGAACCAGAGTCATCAGCACGGAGGCACACACGAATAGCAGAACCAGATGGCAGGTCGTCTTCTCCAAGCAGGTCAGATGCTTGTGGGTCGGAGACGGGTGCTCGAGACAGAGCGTCGGCAGCATAATGCAGCTTTCCTTGTCTCCAGGAAGCATGAAATTGGTACGGCCGAAGCTTCAGCAGGAGACGCTGCAAACGAGGATTCTCGACCTGATCCAGGCTATACGTGTTGAAGATCGGAATCAGGGGCTGGTGGTCTACGATGAGGTCGAATCTGCTGCCGGCAAGGTACAGGTGGCACTTGCGCACAGCCCAGACCACAGCAAGACATTCAAGCTCAATCATAGCGTAGCGGCTTTCAGTGTCGGTGATAAAGCGGCTACCACACTGGACGAGGCGCCAGCCAGACGGGTGCAGTTGGAACAGTGCATAGCCGAGACCTTTCGTGCGGGATGCATCTGTTTCCAGACGTGTTTCCAGACAAGGTTGGTAATACGCCAGAATGGGGGGTTCGACCAGAGCATTCTTCACACGGTTGAACGCATCGGTGTGTGGCGTTTCCCACTGGAAAACAGCAGACGTCTTCAGCAGACTACGAAGCGGTGTCGCCAGCTCGGCGATAGCAGGTGTAAACTCAGCAAGCTGATTTACGAGGCCCATGAACGATCGGAGGTCGGTCCGATTCGTCGGGGTGGAGAAGTCGCGGATAGCGGAGAGCTTAGCGTCATCGACAGTCCAACCGTCAGCATTCAGGATGTAGCCGCAGAACTCGATCTCGGTAGCAGCGAACACAAACTTCTTCGCGCTAAGGGTTACGCCGTGCTCGCGCGCACACAACAATACGCGCCGGACGCGTGCCACATGGTCACCAAGGTCATCATCATAGACGAGACAGTCGTCGACGACCTTTTTGAAATTGGTGATGTTGTCGAATGCCGTGCTCATACGGCGGTTATACTCGTCTCCGGCCGAGATGAGGCCCTGCGGATTGCGCAAGTACTGATACCGGCCCCATGGAGTGATAAACGTTGTCAATGGCCGCGCTGCTTCGCTGAGTGGCACTTGCCAGTAGCCATGGCGAGCATCGAGCTTCGTAAAGAAGCGACCGCTGACACTGGTGACGACATCACGAGGTGGCTGTGTCGGATGCGTGGGACGTTGGATCTGATCGTTCAGCTTCTTGAAGTCCACCGTTAGACGCTTCTCAGTGGTGCCCTTCTTGTCGACTATAACAATAGGGTGGCACCAGTCGCGGGGTTCAGAGACAGGCTCAATGATGCCATCCTTCACCATGTTGTCAAGCTGTTCCTTAATCTGGTCCCGAAACGCATAGGGCACTGGTCTAGCGTGATGAACACAGGAAGGTGTAGCGTCTGGTTCGAGCTGAATGTCCATTGACGGACCAGACATGGGCTTCAGACTGTCAGAGTCGAACACGTCAGAAAACTCCTGCAGCAGCTCAGTGCGAATCTGGTCGGCGGTGGGCTCAGGTGCTGGTTTGCGCTCAACTCGGCAAACAGAAGGCCAGTTGGGCGGCAGCAATCCGAGCGCACACAGGGATGTCCGGGAGAGCAAGGCATCCGACAGCTCGGAGTACACGTGTATGGTGGTGCGGTGAGTCTTGGAGCCTAGCCCAAGACTGGAACTGATCTGGCCAACGGATACGAGAGGCTGACCGTTCACACCGGTGACAACGTCTGGGTCCTCCGCCAGGTTTTCTGGGAATCCACCCAGAAGGTCAAGATGACGAAGACCAATGGCGTCGACATCACTGCCGGTGTCCGGTATCCAGTTAATGGCTGCACCTGTCTCCTCCGTGTTGAGCGTAGTCGTCACAGACACGGTGCCTTGTTGCCCGGATGATGCTTGCTGGAGCTTCAGCTGGCCGATCTTGGAACCACGTGGCTGCTTGGATTTCTTCGGGCACATTTTTTCAAAATGTCCAGTGGCTTTGCAGCCGTTACAAGTTTTGCCAGCAGCGGGGCAGGCAGACTTGGTATGCGTAGAGCGGCCACACTGGGGACATTTCTTGGGTGATGAATAAGCAGACTGGGGTGCTGCCTTAGAGGTGGCGTCCGGCGCCGGCTTGTCACCAAAGCGTTTCTGACGCTGGTACTGTGACCTACGGGCGGCGTTGATCGATGCTGACGGCAGAATACCATCCCCAGTTTGCTTTGCTGCTTCCTCAGCACGGCAAATCTTTGCGGCGTTAGCTAGTGTCAGGGATTGTTCGGCTAACAATTTGTGCCGAGTGTCGTCATCGTGCACACCCACAACAATCCGGTCACGGAGGATCTCCTCGTGTGCTTGCACCAGCATCTTGGGGCAACTGCTGCACATGCGGGCAGAGCATGCGGAACAGACTTGCAAGTCGGCGAAGTCGCAGGCAGCAAAGGACTCCTTTAAGCCGGTGTAAAAAGCATCAAAGGTTTCACCACGTTGCTGGCGTCGGTTATAGAAGTCTATCCGATCCAGCAACGGGTTACGTTGCCGACGGATATATTTTTTGACAGCACAGATTATGTCCGAGGCATCGGCATTAGTGGCCACGGCGATGATCCCCTCGCGCAAATAACGCTTTATGTCTTCATCTAGTGCCTGGCGTAGAGCACTCACTCGTGTGGGTCGGTCCTGAACGGACAGTTTCTGGCATCTCGCGTAATCCTCCCAAGCCTCCTCCCATGCGTTGAGGTCCGCGAGCGTGGCAGAGGAAAGCAGGATGGGCCGTTCCACCGAGATTTGTTTCGTCGTGGGCTGCGATGTGGATGTATTAGAGCTACTCAACAGGGCAGTCAGGCGTGCCTCGCGGTCCGCTGCGGCTGTCATCTGTGCCTGCATGAAGGTCAACAGAGCCTGAACATCAGGGCTGACAGGTAAGTTTGGCGTGGCTGCTGCGCCAGGGACAGCATCACTACCAGAGTCGGACATTACGAATCGAAACAAATTTACAGCACTCGCACGAGGGTCACACCACTGAAACAACGGGCCGGGATTGTCAGGTCACAACGGGTGATCTGACCTACCGCCTACAATACTACTACGACAGGTAAGAAAATAGTTCACTGCGCCATGTGATAAACGTATTGGTTTATTCTAATAAATACTTTGTAGTAGTCTCCATCCATCGAGGAGCGAGTGGAAAAGAACAACAAAACAAAGAACAGCACACCGGAATCAGCATGCTCAATGTGTAGTCATGCGTGCATGCCAAATACCAATGCATGACGTAAGCTAACGTAAACTGCGTACAATAAGACAGATGCACGCGGGTGGTTGCATATAGGATAGCGTACATAATAATACAACACACGTAGCATGCCATAATTCATACCAATAGTTTAATGTACAGTAAAACCTGTGACTAACGACCGTTCCTTGGGGCCAGAGAAAGCGGCCTTTAGTGACAGGTGGTCCATAGTTAGAGGTTTGCACCGCACAACCAACATGAATGTGAGATCGTCCGTGCCTGGCGAAGTGGTCTGTAGTACCAGGCTGGTTGCTAGTCAGGGTGGTCTTTAGTTACAGGTTTTACTGTAGTACCAGGCTGGTTGCTAGTCACGGTGGTCTTTAGTTACAGGTTTTACTGTACATGCATGTAGACACTGGAAGTTGAGCTTGAGATGGTAGATTCACATTGCGCATTGTACTACTGCGGCAATACGGTACCAGCCCAGCCCAGGTCTGCTAGCAACACCCATGGGTTAGCGAGGTGCACTAGAAGCGATTGTTTAAGCCATTGTCACTCGTGGTGCCATCACCACTAGGAGTGAGGTGATCCAGTTGGTCCAGATTCACATGCCATTGTAGGTATCTGGATTTGGTATAATCCATTGTGTGTGTGTGTGTGTGTGTGTGTGTGTGTGTGTGTGTGTGTGTGTGTGTGTGTGTGTGTGTGTGTGTGTGTGTGTGTGTGTCTGTCTGCGTGTCTGTGTGTCTGCCTGTATGTGTGTGTGTGTGTGTCTGTCTGTCTGTGTGCATGTGTGTGTGTGTGTGTGTGTGTGTGTGTGTGTGTGTGTGTATGTGCATGTGTGTGCATGTGTGCGTGTGTGTGTGTGTGTGTGTGTGTGCGCGTGTGTCTGTGCACATGTGTATGTGCGTGTGTGAATCTATCACAATGGCATGCTTTCTATTTTCCAGAGCAATGGGAGATATCAAATGGGAGAAGAAGTTACCCAAAGTTCAAGATGAGGTGCCCGACACAGTCATTGAGCGATTTGCAGATCCAGTGTCGCAGCGCTATCAACTGCATCGATATGAAGAGAAACCGGAGAAGTGGCAGGTAGGGTGTTTGCATGGTACGCCACAAGTGCTCTTTCTTTCACAGGACATGCATACTATTGCTGATGCTGCCTCTGAATACTTTCATCACTAGTCATACCCGCACCTGCAGATGTCCAATGAAATGTAGAAGTCGTTGTTGTTGTGGTGTTTATTTCATTTCGCAAACCAAACGGGCAGATCTGCCCAATGAAAAGGTGGCGAATGCAGATAGAAAGCAGTAATTTATGAAATTGGGGCGGGATGCAATGAGGATAGAGGTGGAGAGAAACTAAGCCAGCTGATCATCAAACAGGACGTTTGGTACTCTAGGTACTAAGGGTGTGCGGGATCATGCTGGCGCGGAACTGGCGGAGCGTGGAGATGGCAAGTAGAAGTTCATTAGACAAGCTTTCACGTACAACCTGGTTCCATGTGTGATCATTATTTCCATATTGTTCAACCGCACCACAACAGATGTGCAATGCAGTGCAGCCCACGGGCTTTCTGTCGAAATGAGAAACTTTCCTTTATCAGACCTGCTTTTTCACGGAGCATGCATTCTCTCATGATGTCCAGATAAAGTCAGACGTTGTCAGTTGGCACTAAACGTAAAAATACATGTAATGGATGGAACCTCAGTCTTTACACTTTATTCTGATGCTCCGTTGCAGCTTAAAATTGATGTGCGCAGTGGTAATATTGCAACCCTGTACAGAACGTTAACGGTCAATTTAGAACTTCACAGTTTCATGCATTATCGGCCACTTTTGAACCGTGACATTATCCACGGCTCTGCACTCTATGCCATTGGCACATTATTCCAATCTTTCCTCTTCGTCCCTGTACAGGTTGTTGATCTGGCTTGGGACAGAGCACAGACACGAGATCCACATCTATCAACACATGCAACAAACTTGTAAGCTATGGTCGCCATAACAGATGTCTAAACACTGTGATTCTCCCTACCCTTAGGAAAAATCCTTCTCGTTTGTGCCGATTTGGACCCAAGTTGAAAAATTATTTTTAGGAGTCAGAGATTTTATTAAAGTTACAAGTAAGGTGGAGCAATATTTTATTGCAACTCCGAGCTTCACGCTTATTATTGAAGTTATGTAGGCTAATATAAGCAATTCCAGAGGCTTCTCACAGCTTCATCTGTATAAAGTATTTGGGTGGATACGTCCATTCCCAAAGCACTGGACAGGATCAGACGAAATAGAGATGACCTGCAGCCAAGCCATTCAGTGCAAGTTGAAATTTCTTTGGCTATTTGGTTCCCTCACCTATACAGAATTCCCATGGGCAACAAACGTGTGAGGTGAAACATTTTGCTCGGGAGCCCACTTGGTAGCAGAAGGCCACAGGAAATCAATTCAAAATGTAGCTAAGCAAAACGTTTGCCTGCAGGACATGACACTGTTTTCCTTTTTCTTGTGTTTGTGTTTGTGTGTGTGTGTGTGTGTGTGTGGCTCAGTATTAGTGCAGCTAACAGAAGTCATCAGGTTCCCGGTTATACGTAAGTAGTACATTCGACACAGAGTACACAGATTAGCTCAATAACTCAGACCACTGTTGACTGGGCGAAGATATCTTGCCGACTCCGATGTCATACATGTCGGCTGGGCAAGCCTCTCTCCTGGCCCTTGTCAGCATTCCCAGCACCTGCTGCTGCGTTCACTATACACACAGTAACAGAATAAAGTACTACGTTTTCTGTACTGCACCATGACCACAGTCACCCGTGCATGACCATGCATGTTAGCAGCATTACCATGGTGATGATGGTGGTCATGAGTTCTAAAACTGTAGAGGAAGAAATAATCACGGCTTAGAAAGAGGCCAAACTGCTTTTAGGCTCTTCAACAGTCACATTTAGAAACTTTTCCACCGGTATACTTTCAAGCCGCTCTCTTCAGATGAAATAAGTTACATGCAAAAGCAAAAGGAAAAAGAGCAATGAATTAAAAGCACAGCGGAGAGGAGAAGAAGCAATCGTGAGCGAAACATTTCGTTTGAAAGTGATTTGGGTCACTCTGTTTGAGACTGGTGTATTTTTTCAGGCTCAGCAACGACAAGTGTTACATCTTGCCTACTACACCGCAGTCGCAGTTTGTATGTGCATGCCAGTAGTTCAACATTTGTGCATAACAAAACAAAATGTGCATAACAAAATGATAAAATAATTCCAAATTCAAACGAATATCTTGTGCTACACTGAAGTTTTCGAGGAGATAAGAAATAAAATTTAATGATAGCACTGGATCTGAGAGCGAAATGTGCACAATGCCATGGTCTTTGCTGTTGGTGTGACTTTTTCTCAACTCACTACTGCACAGTAAGCAGCATGCCTTTTTTTGTTTGAGAGAAAGCCAACAATGGATGGTGCTTTCTGTGCAAACTTTCCACCGTGTCACATTATCCTCTTCGTATTTGATGTGATGGTGTTGTGTGCTGCACCCTGCAGTGGCTGTGTAGGCAAAGCAGGTGGTGATGTGGACGTGCCGACCGAGAAGTTCCAACCCTTGTCTACAGTACGCACTGAAATTCCATGGAAGACAGACACGGCAAGGTACGCCGAAAACATGTGTGTCAGGGTGTGTGTGTGCGTGCGTGTATATGTGTGTGAGGGTGTGCGCGCACATGTATGTGTGTGTATGTGTGTGTATGTGTGTGTGTGTGTATGTGTGTGTGTGTGTGTGTGTGTGTGTGTATATGTGAGCGTGGATGTGTCTGCACGTGTGCAATCAGGCATGCATGCATGTGTGCAATCAGGCATGGGTGCATGTGTGCAAGTGTGTCCATGCATGAACCTGTTTGTGAACGGAATAATTCCTGGTGTTGTGTGCGTGTGGTGGTGGTGGGGGTATGCTTGTGTTTTGTGAAAGCAGACATTTAGCAAGTATATACCGTTGGATGAAAATCGTCTGACTCTAACTATATGAGCAAAATATATGCACATGGTTGTAGAATGTGTACCCTAGTGATAAGCGCATTACTAGACCATAATCCTGAATGAGTTATCTTCTGCGATGATGGTGATCTGTGTGCACTGTGGGCATGACTGCATGGGAAAGTGATTGCTTGCCCAGTTTTAATGCAGTGCTGTGTGTGTTTGTGGTTCGTTCCCGTCAGGTGTGGTGATATACCTGGTTATACCGGCTGCAAGTACTGGACATCCAACTTTCCAGCTCATCGTCATAACAACCCACCTTGGCATACTACAACAGCACGCGTGCATAGGTGAGTTTTAATTTTTTTTCTATAGAGCAGACACACATGATCGATGGAAGCCCGTTGAGAAGAACACCGATATGACACAATTTCCCTCAAGAAGAACCAGTATTTGTGGCGCTATTGGGAAAATACGAGTCGTACGTTTCTGATGGTAGCGAGACTGCGTTAAGAGATGACGAATGTGCAACTCACTACATATTCACTATGCCTGGAGAACGGATGTGAAAAATCTCAATGTTGAGAAGTAATTCAAGTAGCTCCTCAGTGGCTGCTCTAGGATTTCAAACCAAGCGGTTACATGTATGTTCAAGTGCGGCTGCTGCATGTATATCAAAGAGCTGTAAATATTGTTTGGACCCTGAAGTAGCATATGTATTCCCAACCAGGTCACAATTGACCCAGTGTTCTTTTTCCAATCGGGTTCAAGTGCCCCCCCCCCCCCCCCAATCGTGTCGTTGACCCAGCTCTGGAGCAGACACTGCTCCTTGGTGTTTGTCCTAGGGAGGCTTGACTGTATGTGTTTTCGTGTGCTATCCCCCGTAGGGTCATCCCGAACGAGGAAGACAGCAGCCCATTCAATCGAACGGGAGTCTTGTCTCGTCTGGTCACTACCGTGCCACCACACAATCCATTCCTGAAGGAGCGCAACGATGTGGAATCCAAGCGGTTACTTGCCCATGACACGACGAAGTCAGCGAGCTTCAAACACCAGCCAAACTGGGTGACTACAGGGCCTGCAGCTGAAGCTAAGCCTGGGTCGCTCAACTGGATGAATGCCAGTAGCAGAGCGGCCGAACCGCACATGGTGGAGTACTCCGCCGATATGAACGATTTCCTGTCCAGGGTTGCTCTTGATGCTAAAACGGCGGCATCAAAGAGCACCAGGCTTGACTGAGTAGGCTCGCTGCCCTGTACGTGTATTGCTTGGTGCACTGCCTGACTTAGTCTATGCTAGCTAGTGGTTCACATGCTGCAGTACTGTCACAGTATACCGGTCTTGTTGGCATCGCGGTCTACTCTCACTAGCCTGTGCGGATGCATGACCACTGTATGTCTATCAAGCAAAGCAGGTGATGCCGGCGTGCGTACACGGCGCCCTGCTTTCTCCCAGCACCGCGGTGACCTCCGTGGAAGTGTGATCAAAGACAGTGCTGTTGCTGGACCAGCGCCACCAGATGTTCTGGCGTCAATCAGGGAGCATCTCTATGGATTAGATGTATGCTCGAGTTGTGCTGCGGAGCCGTGTCTTCTCCGGACTCGCTATCCAGCTCCAATAAACTCAAATGGCCTGACGTACAATCCATTATGATGACCGTAGCCACACATCCAAGATGGACTCGGATACCACTGTAGCTCTTTGTGTTCCTCAGGACTTCAACAGCACACTTGATGTACCGAATGTAAATGAAACAATGTTCCCATCCCCATGCAATCATCTACTCCTGGCTATGATCCAGTCATGAACAGCAAAATCAAATTGTGATCACACCCAAGGATATCTATTTTGAGTTATCACCCCTCGTTGCATTGTCGGACTACTGTCGGTGGACCTTATAAGTTATAACAGATATTTGGACATGTCAAGCAGATTAAAAATCTTGTACGTGAATGATCATTCATGATTGCTTCGAGCGGTCTGTGGTGTTCACAACATTGACTGGATGGAGTTGCCAGGAAAAAAGCATCTATTCGTTAAATTCAGCATACATCAACTGTGTTTTGGTTGTGCTGAGTGCCTTGTTCAAACAAGATTACAATACTATTCCATCTGATATCCAGAGACACCTTTCTTTTTTTAGGTCAGATGCCTGCCATGATTTTTCAGAAGAGTAAAGAAAAATCAAGAAAGTACACCTGCAACGGTGCCAGTGGCTTCGGCATTCGGTACTTAGTCAGAACCTCAAGTACATAATTATAGTCAACTTCGCTAATAACGACTATGGATATAACGACAATTCGCGAATAACGACATAATTTTCACGCCCAGATCAAAGTCCCATCCAACTTTGACACATAATGAGACTTCGGGTATAACGACACTTCGCGAATAACGACACTTTTCTGATGCCCCGCGGAGTGTCGTTATAAGCGAAGTTGACTGTGCTATCATGTAGATGATTGTATGTAGTGATAGTGTTTATAGTGATCAAAGTCACGAGGAGCAATAATCGCTACAGGGGTTCCAATCTAGTCAAGACTAAATAGCTGATAAAATAGTAAAACTAGTAACTGATGCGTGTACATGTAGTGATGTACACGCATATGGTTTCCAGTAGCACACTGAGGAAACTGTTACGTAGGGGGTTCCGCGGAACCCCTCCTGGACCCGTCCCTGCAACGGTTACGTGGTATGAACTCTGCTCAGACATTCCCACCAGTGGTAGTGATGTCGCTTTCCCACACCTACAAATGTGACTCCAGCCATTCACGTTGTGACGCCAGGAGCTGTCCAGTGTCCTTCCAGATACTAGCACTGGGTATATGGCGATGGAATGCTACTCAACACGTAAGTCATTGGCCATAGTACATGTACAGCCTACACTAGGCTACAGCCAGTACACATGGTACAGGCGTAGATCTATTGCAGGATCGCCGAGGCAACCCTCATCCAGGAAACAATAATCTAACTACTAACTTCTAAGAACCCTTCATCAGCACCTGCAAATGAATGGACCGCATGCTGTACATGTGCGAGACCAGAGATGCCAGCAACACCGTGCCAGGATAACCATGATAACAGCAAATCCCTAAGTCCTAACCCTCATGTTGGGTGTGACACCAACCCACTCCATCCCAGAACAGCTAGGACTAATCACGATGTTCAGTGCCAAGAAGCCACGAAGCGTTTTGAGTGACGTCGCTCTCACCATTGATGGCATCACTCGCCTACATTGTAGTTAGGTAAACCCTTTGCCCATGTTGACAGCAACTCGGTGAGCCTTGGCACATGTAGATTACCATGGTTACTACTGTAGTACAGTACTACTGACTGTACTACTGCACTACAGTACTATCTTAGTATCTACTACTTGAGAACGGTTTTATTCACAACAACATTAGCATGATTAGTAGGCATTATTAATATTACTGATAGATTAGCTCCATGCCTATGAACTGACTGTCACGGACACAGACGTGTCAGCCGGGCCCGGATAGAGGCAAATCACACCAACACATGAAACAGATGATCCACCCCCTACGATTAGACTCTGACTATGGAAAGACTGGAAGATTGAATCGCAGAGCGAACAGCATTGTTCCATAGGCACTGTTTAGCCAATATTATTATTTAGGGCACCTCAAGCATCGTTCTCATACCCCATCGCAATCGGCATGATTGGGCAAGGTTTGGAATGAATCTAGAGAGAGTGGAACCGTGGCACTGTAAATGCTAATCAGTAATCCTAACCTTTCCGAAGACGATCTTCGAACCATTTTGATTCGTAGCATCTGATTGCTTTCGAGCGCGATAATGACGATGAGAATGATGATGGCACGGCCCGAAACAATGCCATCAATGGTAGTATTACTTATTGCCGTCTGCCACGCATCCGCAGCCATCCTTCAGTCAGGCAGTGGTGCTGAGGACCGCGCTGTGCAGCTGAATGCTTTGGAGAAGATCGCAAGGCCAGTCCTGGAAGCTCTTAGTACTTGCAGCCTGCAGAAGACAATGATCAACCAGACCGTCGCACGGCCCGAGTCCTCCATCAGCTGCCCTTCGTATCGCATATCGGCAGCGATGGGCAGATTGTTGGCTGGAATTGCACCATGGCTGGAGCTTGGTGGTGACAACGAAACCTCGGAGGGAGTGCTCCGAACAGAGTTCATTCTGCTCATGGAAAAATCTTTTTACAATGTGTTCCTGAACAATTCTTGTGAGGATTTTATCAAATGGGATGGCTGCAGGGCGACCATCGTAGAGGCCTCGTACATCGGGCACACTCTATTACGGATGCCAACGATAGTGAAGAGTTGGCCCGACGAGTTGAAGCAAGCCATCGCTGCAAACACTCAGCTAACGTTCAAATTTGGCGAGTCAACAAGCAATAACTGGTGCAACTTTCCTTCCATCTTGCAAGCCGGTCTGTGGTACCACAACTTGACAAATGAAACAAATTACATTTACGAAGCAATCAAGTTGCAGGAAGAATGGTACAAAGGTGATGGTGCGTACGGCGATGGAATACATTTCCACTTTGATCAGTACAACAGCTATGTGATGCACCCTCAACTGGTCGATGCAGTGCGTGTATGCAAGATGAAAGGTGATGCGATGGGTGCAAAGTATGAGTGCTTGCTGAAACGCATGCAACGCTGGGCTGTGGTCCAAGAGAGGATGATCCATCCAGACGGGTCATATCTGATTGTGGGACGCAGTGAACACTATCGTTTTGGTGCATTCCAGGCGCTGTCTCAGCTAGCATTGCAGAATCTGTTACCATCGAGTCTTCCCCGTGGACAAGTTCGCACGGCACTGACTGCTGTGGTCAAGCGGTTCCTGTCTAATACGGATAACTTCATTGATGGTTGGCTATCCGCTGGAGTGAACGGTCATCAACCAGGAATGATGAATCCGTATGGTGATAGCGGTGCACTGTACCTGGTTAGCCTAGGTCTACTGCAGCTGGGTCTACCGGCTACTGACCCATTCTGGACAGAACCAGCAGTGAGCTGTACACAGGCTCAGATCTGGGTTGAAGGGAAAGATATTGGATTGGATGAGGCGTATGATGGACCAGTGTGTTAGTGATTTTTGATGGACCGCAATATTTAGTTTCTGCGTTGGCCGTGGTCGCTGATAATAATTTCATAGACTATGTTTTAATATGGCAAACAAGAGTACTAAGCTGTGCCGTAACCATGCTTCATTACAATAGTAACAAACATGCGAGAGCAATGTGAATGTAAAAATAATGTACATGTAAAAAGAAGAAGTGCTCAGAACGGTTTTCTCGTTACGATCTTCAGTGAATGTACGTAACTATAGATGGAATACTAAATCAAATACTAATATAAGGAACAGAAAGAGGTGCGAAAGCGAAATAGAGAACAACGCAACTAGAATAGTTCTAAAATGAGCAAGCATGTGAGAAGCACAACAGTGGCGAGCGAACATCATATTCAGAAGAATCATAATTCAGAAGAATGAAGAGTCATATTCAGATTCTTCTTTCTCTGTACTGTGCAGTGCTAGTCATTCGTATGTGCAGTTGAAAGTTTTAGAAGCCATTTGCATTCACCTGCATGTACAAGCCCGATTTGTGTGTTCAAAAAGAAAGTGTCATAACCCTCAAATTCAAGTGTTAACATACACTGTAGTAAATTCAACGAACTTGTGGGTTTGATGTTGTCATTGTTGTCCCCCTGCTTACTGTTCATGTTATAGTTTCATGCGATGCTGCGCCACGGCTTTCTACTTGTAATTGCATTTGTTGTCCCCTGGTAGCACATGTATTACACGTGCGGTCATATTTCTTGACTCCTGATGATGGTGGTGAAAAGTGGAAAACGTAATAATTATGGTAACAATTGGACTATTTCTGAAGACAGAGTTGCATGTATACAATGTGCCCCAGCCTGACTGCCGATGGTTCGTTGTACCACTTACTGAGCCTTACAATTTTTTTGTTTTGGAGAATTTGTGTGAACGGATCTAAGAGCCAGTTCAAGTTTGTAGAGTTATCAACAGAGACTGAGGCGGTAGGCTTTCCCCAAAATGGCCGGTCGAAAAATTCGCCGAAAACAAGATGACATTGTATCGAAAAATCGCTAAGCTTTTCGCCGATTTTGGAGGGTTCCTTTGAGAGTCGCCGAAAATCTGCCAAATGTTGTAGCAAAGTGCGTTTACGAACGAATGATGCCGATTTTACAATATAAGCAGCCGATTTTCGAACAATAAGCTGATTTTGCAGCCTAATCTGATGTAATTTTGAGCCGAGCGAAAACCGAATAGGCGAAAAGCGATTTGGAGAAAGCCTAGCTGAGGGCCACCTCCCTCGGCCTGCTACTACAGATCCCCACCCCCTGCCCACCTCTGCCCTACCGCAGCCGCAGGAGAATGTTTTTGACAGGACGTGAATACAATTTAATAATCTAATTACGATACAGGAATGGCACTACTAAGCCCAGCTGTTGCCGTTGCTGTTGCTGTCAAAAATTGTACTTTGTTACAGTAGTCCGGCGAGACCAGTAAACGCATCTGTGCATAAACTTCAAGGTCTACTTGAAGTAGACTAAAGTCAGTACAGTCTGTTTCGGGGCATAGCAACTATAATATACACATACTATCAATAGTAGAACAGAGGTTTTGGCATCAGCTGTTCTCACGGGATACAATGTAGTTTGCTGCTCTACAATCTAGCGAATACGGAATAGCATTTCAACTTGGTTGTCTCTTTGATCTAGTCTAGAATGGCGTTAGGGCCAATGCTGCGCCTACTGGCTTTACCCGCGCTGCTCTTCGCCATTGCAGATGGAACAACGCCGACCATTCAGCCGCAGAGTGGAGCTGACGATCGCGCAGCGCAGTTGAATGCTTTGGAGAAGATTGCTAGGCCAGTGCTGGAAGCCCTCAGTACCTGCTCGCTTCAGAGCAAAATGATCAACCAGACAAGACCTGGAGCACCGTCCGTAATCCTTTGCCCTTCCTACAGGATCGCCTCAGCTTTGGGAAGGCTTGTGGCGGGCATCGCCCCATGGCTGGAGT